ATTAAAAAAACAAAAATGTCATACATTCTGGATTCATTACAAATCAACTGAAATATTGCAAGCCTTTTATTATTTTAATACTGTATGCCATAATCAGCAATATTAAAATAATAAAAGGCTTGCAATATTTCAGTTGATTTGTAATGAATCCAGAATGTATGACATTTTTGTTTTTTTAATTGCATTACAGAAAATAAAGAACTTTATCACAATATTCTAATTTTCTGAGACAGTCCTGTATATTAAAGCATGTACAGCATTTCCTAATAAAAAAATCGCTTTTAATGTTGACACTTTTGTCAGCTCTTTTTTAAAACACACACCATATGTCCCCAAGCTCAGCGGAGTTATAACAGCCTAAAACAATAATTGTGTTAATAATATGGCGCAGTGTAACCATACAGTGACACACACTGAACCAAAGTGAAACGTTGACTTTAATACATGTATTATGTCAACAGATTTAACACAACTGTATTAAGTTAGTTGAAAGCAATACTATTACATTTACATAGGTTCAACTTAATATTATTGCTTTCAACTGACCTTGTACAGTTATGTGACATTTGTTGAAAAATACATTTAGTTGAAGTTAACGTCTCTGTTTTTTCAGAGTGAAGTCCAAGAGAAAAGGTGAAGCTCACATTTATGCCCATCCACAAATGGAATTCAGCAGGTCAGTGGTGAGTGACACTTAGCAGAGCAGGTTGGACATGAGAGCAATGATTTCCATGAGAGATGGAGGAGAAAGAGGAGGGAGGAGAGTGTGAATCAAAGCTAGATAAGAAGCGCAGCAGCGGTGGAGGAGTTTGTTCAGGGGAGGAAGGTGGGTGGGGGGGCAGATTTCCGCTGGCTCAGTAGGAGCAGTTTTGGCTAACCTCCTTCACTCTCCCTGATCCTCCAGGCTCTTTCCCAGCCCTCCTCCTCTGTCTTCTCTCCTCCTCCTCCTCCTCCTCCTGCCTCAGTCTGCCCCTCCTGCTCTCTCCATTCCTAGAGGAGGGACTGCAGCCTGTTGCGGAGCTCATCGACCACAGAGAGTTATTTTGGCCATTCCAGAGATCTGGGTTATCACTATCTGTCTGAAAGGGGGTCTTGCATCCTGAGGGCAAACCCACAAGTGGGCAGTCCAAAGGGTCCCATTCAAGACCACTAGAGGTCATTAGACTACAGCAGGGGTGTACAAACTACGGCTTCTAAAAGTATAATGGAATATGGCCCACACCTTAAACTTGTTCTTGTCTTATATTGTACTTCTTAAATATATGTGTAAAAGTATAGGACACAGTATTCATGTGTGTATAAGCCCAATATTTTAAATACATTCAGTCAATTAAAGTTGAGAACATTTTCTAACAAATCTTAGTTGATAGAAAAAGCCCAATAACTTACTTCCATTACCAGCTTGAAGTATGCCCTTCCTATTTCCCCTCATCATAAGCAATCTGAGGCTTCTGTGTTAAGGGATGAGCTGCCAACACTGTTTGTAACAAAATAAATGAAACCCTATGGAGAGCTGTTTTTTTTCTTAAAGCATGTAAAAAAAGTTTGGACACCGCTGGACTGCAATGATATTATTCCCGATGTCTTAAAAATAATTCCAACAAAAAAGAGCTGAGATCAAAAAGATGACTCCACCAGCGGTCAGGACTGCAGTCAGAGCTGAGAGGAGCAGTGGGAACACGGCGAGCGGACAGAGGATGTACTCACGTCGTCTTGGATGTCCAGTTCGCAGCCGGCTTTGAGCAGGATACGCACAACCTCAATGTGGCCTTTGTAGGCAGCCAGGTGCATGGGGCTTCTGCCATACTGCGGACACAAAACACACACAACTCAGTGGACAGAACATCAGAGTGAGCACAACATACTATAAGTACAGAAACACCCGCAGTGAAAGGCCCCACCTCCGCCGTCCCACTCTCACATTCACAATCCACATACCGCTACAGTGCTCACAGCTAATGGGACCACGGTAACAAATCTGCTTCACAGTACAATCCATCTCAGTAATGAGTCCACAAAACACAAACAAATACTTAATCCATGGTTCAAGAGAATAGCGCACGATCTGCACAGATGTTCATGTTAGCTGAGCGGAGGATAAACTCTGCATCCTGCCAATTTAAGGATCTGTGGGCGGGCCCTCAAAATAAAAGGTTACTTAACATTAGGAGGTTTAGAGGATCAGTTAACTGAAATAACCCCCAGACAAAAAAACGTTTCTTTGGTGGTATGCATACATAAGAAACGATTGGAATATCTGTGGAAATACTCAAAGCATTGTATTTTTACAGCTAAATCTTTGGAATATCTGCAGTTAAGTACACACAGAAAGGCATGAGAGACTTCACTACACTTAGTTGAGATCCCTAAATGTAGTCATGAATATAAAAATATATTAGGAGTTAAAGATCGAGAACAGATTTAAGAGGCCCTGTTATGCTTTTGGGGTTTTTCCTCTCCTGTAGTGTGTTCTCTAGGTGTTTGTGCATGTAGATGGTCTGCAAAGGCTAAAATCCCTGGGTGTTTCTCAATGTCGAGGAAGGCTGCTCCAGAGCCACTATTTCAAGGATGCTACGTCATCGAGTCCCACCGAAGGACTGTTCCAATGTCCAGGATGCTTGGAATTCTATCGAGGCTGGCGTCCTTCGTTGCACATGTGTATCCTCCGTGGTCTTAAAATCCCCACAATGCTTTGCGCACGGAGATTCTCTCTCACACACTCTCCCCTCCCCTCCCCTCCCACTGCCCGAAAGACCATGATTGGTCTCCTTCGTTTACTTCAATATCATAGTGGAATCACTTTGTAACACTCATTCTTCTATTGGCTCGCACTCCAACACATTGTACTTGAGAGGCTAACGGGCGGGACATCTCTAAGAGGTTGACCAATCATAACAGAGCCAGCCAGCTAACCAATCAGAGCAGACTGGGCCCTGTTTCAGACAGAGGGTGAAAAGAGGTGCTGCAGCACAGGCAGTGTGAGAAAAATAAAGAGCTTTTTGAACATTAAAGCATCAGACATGTCCCAGTAGAGACACTACATACTGATATGAACCTGAAGATGAGCCTAATATGTCCTCTTTAAGAGTTAACTATCCTTTGAGTTACTAGTGTAATGGATGGTGTTTGTCTCTATATCAAACTGATGCTTAATAGTTTCTGGAACACAGGGGTCTGCCTCAAAAGAGTAATGCCAGACGTTTATATAATAATAACGGTTTGGAGGATTATGGTAAAAGCTCGGAAACATCCTGACATCCTGAACTTCTCATCCTATATAATGAACTGCATTAGGAAGAATGAAAGAGCAGGATGTCACCATTCCAACTTAAAACACAAGACGCAGGGGATCTGTATTAATACACTTTAATTACAGATCATGTGTGTATTCCCACACAACAGCGCATGCCGCATAACTCCCAGGTATTATCTCCCCGTGTGGAGCTCCGTGCTTTGTTTGGGTGCAGCTGGGCTCCTTGTGTTGATGTGGCCCTGAGCTTGAGTTACTCTGGGCCTGGCATGGAGCCAGCAGCAGAGCTCAGGTAAACAGAGGCCTGTAGCCAGTAGCCCCCTGACCCAGGTCTGCTTGTGGCTCTGTGGGGCAGTCTTTCAGTGGTAGTCAATATTTTGGGTAATCTCAAAGTCCTCCAGGGAATTGCATCCACACAAGTGCCCAGCACAGGCCTTACATGCACTCTCTTTTGATTTTAATAAGAGGATTTCTTTTTTAAAACAATTATTTACATATGTGCCTGAAACCTAAAAGATGTTTGAATCCAGGAAACCTGCAGCACAATAGAGAACCGCAGTGACGCGTCCTAA